ATAACAAATCCTGCACCTAAATGTCTTCCCACTGTGCAAGTCAAGAGGAGAAGTATTTTTTTCAGCTTAATAATAAAAACAAGCTTATGGAAAAAACTCAAAACAAGTTTAGTTCAATTTTAGCAATATTACAGTATTTTTTAATATCTGTAATACTTAAGTGAAATTATTTTAACACAGTCACAGGTTACTGATGCTCAATTACTGCACAATTTAAATTAACAAAGAGATGATATCTCATATACAGTGTCCTGACAGTGAACATTGGTTGATGAGAAAACAAAAGCCCTAAATAGTTCATTATCATTCATTTAAAATACTAAAATTTTCAGTGAACTACCCTTTAATGAAAATAAAATTTAATGCAGAAAGAGGATATACTTAGGATTTGCAAAAGAACTTGCATTTGTACAATATGTATACGCATACGGTTTTACAAAATATATGTAAATTAAATTGTTACATACCGATTCACATCACTAATGGAGACTATGAACCTAATTGCTATTTTCATTATGTAACTTCTCTAGAGTCACATTTATTCATATAATGCTTTTATTTTTTAATTTAAGTGGTTCTGCAAGTTAGATTCTTTATAGCCACTGTTATCTTGTCAAGTGCAGGCCAAAGTTACCTCCTTCAGATGCTTTTAGTATATAAATGCCTGTATGTGCAGGCATTAGAAGTATTATTTTTAAGGAGGCATGTGAGAAAGTTGGATCATTTCAGTATTGTGATTATTTGAATAATCAACTGAAGTTACATTACATATATATTTGGGCCAGCCAAATCCTATTATAGAAATGGAAGAAAATACTCCAAAACCCTGTGTGACAGTATGAAGAATGCCAAAAAAAAATTAAAGAAATACTAATCCATAGAAAACAGATGACATTGTGATATTTGTCCCTCCCTTTCCATAAACACAGGCCAAGTCCCATAGCGAGTTCTTTACAGGCAGGCTCTTATGCTGCCCTGCTCAGACACCAGGTTCTGCTGTAGGTGTGCACACCATACACATTTTCTCCCTAAGAGAATCACACATGTTGGAAAACAGATGCACATCCTTCTACATTAAGCCTATGTACCAGTAGGGTGAGCTGCAATAACGTGAATGAGTGTACTATATTACTGTAGGCTCAAACTTCATTTCAGTTCAAATACTACACAGTTCACGCTTCGTCAAGGAGGCATTGTAAGAGAAAAAGAAAGATGAGTCAAAACAGAGAGATAAGATTGAAAGAGGCACTGCACACAGCTAGGCTGTCAGATGGAGCAGGGAGAGGAACAACCTTTCCCTCCTGACACAGTCAGTCTGTGCCTTGTAGACACTGGCAAATCCCCAGAGATCACAACTCGCAACTACCCCCAGAAAGGACAGAAAGCCCTCTAGAAAGCTTACACACAGACATCCTCCCCGTGACTTACAACAACTAGTTGAGCTACTGCTTCCTCCCAGAGCCCCAGCATCACTGCAAACAAGTCTACCACCAGCATGAACAGAGCAACTCCAGTGCTACCGCACTGCACAGCTGCATTCAAACACTTAGCTAGAGAAGAATAAGTGAAATGCAGCTAACTTGAGTCTCAATTTAAAAATGAGTCCATAACCCAGGCAATGGCTATGAGAAAAATGACAGAGGACCTCATAAAAGTTTAAAGAAAGTTCTGCTCTAACATCACTCGGGTGGTTTGCAAGATGACCAGTTAGAAGCACAGAAAAGCCTCACACTAATGGGTCAGAGCAGAAAAGATAAGCTTTCCCACAGCAATCCAGAGTACTTGCTTTATAATGCTACCTGTAAGAGGGCAAAACTCGGGTTTAGCGCAAGGGTACTTTTGCCTTTCATATCATGTCAACATGGACTTTAAGTTTCATAAAAAGAACTTTGATAAAGGGATGGAAAATATTAGTCACAAAACTTGGACAATACATGCAAGACTTCAGTGGAGTAAAACAGAGCTTTATTTCATTTCAGCTGATCAGTAGAGATGTCAAGATAATTTCAGAGCTATCAGGGGTACATCAGAGTCCAACTGAGCTTTTCCTGATAGAAACCACAGCCACTGTTTTTCTATGGTAAGTATAAGAAAGGAGTCAGGCACTAACATCAGCAGCATAGACACAGCCAAAGGGTAGTAAGATCTTCTATACTAAAAAGAAAATGAAGCAATAAAACAGGTCAAGGAATTCGGAATATTATCCCTACAAATGCAACTACTAAATGAAACCTTTTAACCAAGGGAAACGATCCAAGAAGAGTTTCTGTAAGTATGAGGTTTTCTATTTCAAAATATTAACAGAAAAGTATAGCATAGGAAGGGAAACACCTTTTTTCCTCTTGGCATGTTAAAGTTCTCAGAACAGTAAAGACATTCATTCAAGAAATGTTTCTGATGTATGAACAACTTTATCCTTATTTATATATGAATATTTTGTGTAATATTCTTAGTACAAACTAAGCTGACTGGTACTACAGAAGGCAATTAATTTGAGCTTTTATATAGTGGTTTCTCTCTGAAGGCGCTGCTGAAACCTATGTTATATCCTAAATACGGTGACATTAGGTAGTTTACAGATTCACAGGCGCAGCATAGGGGTGCTGAAAAATCAAAATGTATGTTGTAATTTGAAAACAGAGATCTTGTTCTGTGATCTGCCAAAGCATTTTTCCTAATATTTTTCCAATAAAAAAATCTAATACCAGTTAAACAGTCATTTCCAGACCTGTACTGCCTATTTCTTTTACAGATGTGTGTAACTTCAGGACTTAGATTCACTTATCATCAGACAGGCAATTCCTTCTCTGAAAGCGTTGTAACCCTGTCACTTTATTTTTGACTACAAGACCTACAGAAATTGCAGATCCTACCCGTTAAAGAACTTGTGGCCTTATTGCAATAAAACCTTATAATGAGCAAACAAAAAGGATACTACATCTTATTTATTTGTATCAGGTGAAAACAACTCCCATGATCCAAATCTAATTAGCTGAACACTGCAAAGCTGTATTAAGTAGTTAAGATGTAGATAGGCTAGAATTAACGACAGAAGATAGGGGCACTAATGTAGGCAAGGTGACAGGCTGCACTAATGAAGATTAGTGAGTTCAAAACTGACACAATTTTCTCAAGGGCATGTTGTAGCTTTGTGTACTATTGCCATCTTATTTTAGGAATAAGACTGTTGCCAGCAGAAACAAGCAACATTAGACTAATGAAGCTTAGCCTGTGCTTCAGTGGAAAGAAGACATTCCGAAGAAGCACTGAAAAAAAGATAAGATCAGCATGCTCTGTTCCTCAGTCTATTAGGAAATGTTTCTAATACAAAAAAGAGGAGAGAACCATGAAGCCCTGGAGGTATGCTTGGCAAATGTGTGTGCTCAGTGAGCCCTGGGGAACAATATTTGCTTAAGGTCTCTAACTCAGTTTAAAATGGTTCCTCAGAACAATAACATTTCCTTATACAAATGTGACTTCGTGCAGCAAGCACCTGAAGAAAAAAAAATTACTGATTGACACTGAATTTAGACAGAAGTGGCTGATCTAGATTACTGAATATTGCTTTATCTAATGTTTCTTGAGCTTTTCTGTGTAGTAGGCAACCCCTATTAGCCTGTTCAGGTTTCAAAAAAGCCACAAAGGCTTTATTTTGTTTATATTTCAATGAGTAGAAGATTAATGATTGCAACACAAACCCACCCAAAATAGAGGGTATTGGGTAAAATAGTCCAAAATAAGGTGATAAGCGATAACCATATGCCAAATTTAAATACATAACTTTATCCTAAATATGGAATATTGCGTAGTTTTTAAAGATTGTTTTTAGGCAGAGGGCGAGATGGGTAAATACTAGTGAAATGAAGAGGGAAGTGCAGAGGAAATCATAGATAAACCAAACAGAATGTAGTTCAGAGAATTCCACAAAAGTATGAAATGGGTGATGGCCACTGGCAACCCTACAGGGCTGCAGGGAGCGTAAGTGGCAGGAGTTGCAGAATAGCAGGCAGGCAGAGTTATGAAGTTTCTATATCCTGGAGGAAATTCACTAAGACTCTTGCATAATGTAGAATTGGATATAGAAGTCAGGAAAACAAGGAAAAATAAGACTAAGGGTAAATGGATGCATTTCACAGGTTCAGAATGCTGGGAGATACAGCCTTGTTTTGTGTTTTATTGTGTGTTTCAGTTTGAAAGAATAATTGGTTGTAGGAATAGTACGTGCCAGTCAAACCCAAGCCTGTAAAAAAGAGTGAGTTTTAATAAATAATGTATAAGACTATTGTTTTGATTTCAGACAGATCTATACGAACGTACCCACTGTTCCATGTAAAATTTGGAAATAATTTGGCATTTCTTGAAACCCAAGTGGCAATAAATAAATATCCTTCAGGTCACCAGGTTTATTTTTTTTAAATTTTGGGGTTTAGACAAACATTCTTGACTGCCTCATTCCTAACAAAAAATTATACCCTTTCTTATAGATACCATCTCTACACAAAAGCAAGCTTAATACTAATTTTTATTGACTTTGAGGTATTTGCTGGACAAATATCAATGCTAATCTCAGACACTTAAGTTACTCAGCATTGTCAAGTTTACACTGAGCTCTCATCCCCGATCCAGGTCACACTGAACTTCCAGGGAAAAAGATTCATGGTTTCCTTCTGCTTTGGGTCAGGCTCAAACTTGTAATCTCTTTTCCCAATTGAAGCAGCAAAGAGGGAGAATTATTAACACTTCTGTTTTTCCCCAAGAGGTATCCATTGGGTTGCTTGATATATATATATATTTTTTTTTTTTTTTTTTTTTTTTTTAAGTTCTTGCATGTTACAAAAATGTATTTTGGTCTAGTACTTCAGGCATGACTCATAAAGATTAGATGCATAAAATAAGAATCCTGATAGAACTATTAGCACTGTTATATGGAGACTGAATTATAAGTGAAATTTGAAATAGCCAGAACTGAGCACAGCAGGTTTAAAACTTACTTCTTTTCCATGTTTAGGAGAATGAGCCCAAACACTTGCTGGCTTTGCAAGATATGCAGAGCAGAAGAAAATGGGATCAGTTCTAAGTAAGTAAAAATAGGATTCTTGTTTTCTGCAGTACATGCGACTGAGTACAAGAGACAAAAATACCAAAATTCACAGTGGAAGTTTTCATTGCAAGCTTAAAATCATGCAAAAGAGTGCAACATCTTCACAACTGCCCCAGCTGACCACCTTCACGTAGCCAATTCCTTTACAGTACGTGAAGCATAAGCTGTCATTTCTCTAGCGGAAGGAGGGTATTTCCCAGCGCAAACTTCTTTATATTACCTAGGCATAGGCCTAAACTAATGCCTGAATTAAGTCCAGATTTGGACCTGTGAAGAATTTGTAAACCCAATGTTTTTGGCTCAATCCTTTAAAAGAATTGAGGCTGTTGGTGAAAGTTGCATACACATGTGATGGATAAGGGACATGGCCAAGAGCCTCCTGCAAGTCCTCAGCTACCACCAACCTCAGTGGAGGCCAACCACAGCTAGAACTTTGGTCAGCATATTGCATCAGGAACATGAAATGCTTCCCTCCAACATTCCTGCCAACTGGTATCAGACCATACATGGTATTCATTTATTGATTAGAGAAAAATGTGTCCTTCATAGTAATACTGAGGTGTGTCTAATGACACCTGAAACTGCCATTTGGATGAGGTGAAGTGTCAGAAATCCAGAAAGCATTTCCAAAAGTGCATCCTGGTCAAGGACTTCTCTCCCACACAGTAGTGGCCAGGGAAACCCCTCCAACAAGATGCTACAACAACGTTTTTCAATTTAAACTTTGGAGTCCTAGCTATAAAGCCTTACTTTTGGAGAATATTCAGGTTTTTTTGGTGTAATATATGTTCCTCAGAAAATTCAATCACGTTGTATATTAGTGCAGCAAGAAGTTTGCTGTCAGCACAACAGCTATGAAAGTGGCATTCATACAGATCTTAATAACCCATCTTCACATTTCCCTTACTGCCTTTCATATTTTCCTGATTTTAAAAGGCAAGAAAGGAGGCAAAAGGTTTTCCTCTGTGTCAGCTGCCTCATCAGGCACAATTCATTCTGCTTCACATATTAATGCTAAAGATAAATGATCAGAAATGGAAATAAGATGGCCCTACTGATGATGCTCAGTGACACAGACAAGATTGTCACTCATTCTATATACAAGCGCTGTTGCTGACAGTGGTGAAAAACTGACTGCGTCAGTAACAGTGAATATGACTCAGAAGCAGCTCTTAAAGAAAAAAAGCATTCAAAGGACTAGAGATTCTCTTTCCTGGAACCACATGCTTCATGAGTTCATACAGAGAAGAGGCCAGTAGCTCATGAAAGAGCTCATGAAAGAGGGGCGGAGAACGTGTCTTTTACTGGCAAGAGTTCCTAGAGGGTTATTTACTGATAGTGGTAAAATTTCCATTACTATATATTCGCCTGATCATGTTAGACTGATCAGGAAAGCCTGACAAAATAATCAGTGTCACAGCATGTACTCTTTCAGAGCAAGAGAGAATTTTATCAAGTTTAAAAATAGAGGGGTGATCAGTAATTAAAAAGATACAAAGTTCCTAACGGCTGGTGTGCAACAGAAATCTATGAAGCATCATGCACCACTTGTACAAAGACAATTTTGCATCTAATTTGAATTTTAAAAAAAAAAAGTTGTTATATTAAGTAGCTGTTGTCAAAATTGTAGCTCCTATGGAAACAAAATACTCAATGAGAAGGATCTCCTCCCAAGTTTGGCTGACACATAATGGAAAGCACCCACTAGAATATATCCCCTATGTTTTCTTCTACTACATAAGCATTTGTTCCAAGTTACCAGCATTGATGTCCTGTAACTGCAAAGCTTAACAATCGGTTGGTATAAATGGAGCTACATCCACTTAAATGGAGCTATTGGCCCTCAAACATTTGTTTTTTCTTAAATTGTTTAGTCTCTCAGCTCACTACTTCCATACTCTTTCCCAGAATCAGGCAAGAGACTCTTAGAAACTTATGACATTATTGCTTACGAATAGCACACAGAGAAAAATCTGATTTTAGTCACCTACAAGAACTGTCTAGATTATTACTAATGTATCATTCTGCACTGTAAACACTGGAGAGAGATGGAAGCCCCTTACAGCTACAACTGTATTAATCTTTCAGTATTTACCTCATGTTCAGAGCTTATATTCAGCTCTCCGTTGATAAATCAACTTGGATGTTAAAAGCCTTTAAATATTACAATAAGATCTTGAGCCTTACAAAATATAAACATCAACATTTCATAAGCTATATAATGATTCCCATCCCAAAGAAGTTGCTGTCTAGAAAGCTATTACTTTCCTTGTGCTTCTCCTAAGCACAATTTAAATAAATGAATGCCATTTCCAAAGGAATTACACACTTCCCTCTCAAGAGGTTACCATGTTTGTTACACAAAGAAGAATATTTACTTCAGCATAATAAGCAGAAGATGTAGGACACACAGTAAAACCTTTTTAAATGCAAGTTTCGTATAGCTCTTCTTTAAGTTAGGGGACAGATTTTCAATAATGTAATTTCATTTAATTTTTTCTGATTTGAACCACAGCTAATCCTACAATAATCTCCTCCTGGTTTTGTGTGGGTTTTTGTTTGTTTGTTTGTTTGTTTCCAAAGAGTTTCTTTGGAGGAGGTGCTACAATGGTCCCACTCTTTTGAAAAGCTGATAACAAGTAAATGTAAGTAATTTTATATTTGTATCCCAGATAGATTACTGAAAAAAGTTCCCATGAAGAAAAATCAATAAAGTCATGAAGTATAACACATGTATAACATGTAAAGTATAACACTTTACCAAGATCCCACTGATAGGAGCTGTTGAACTCCATTGCCAGGTGTTTCAAAGATGTCCTCAGGTGTAGAACTACTTACTTGCTGAACAGAGTATTCTTTTAACTGTTTTACTTCATTCAATTACATCAGTTTTCACCAAAATTCATACACCAAGGTGGTCTTATTTTTGTACTCAGATCATGATTATTTGATAATACTTAGATATCTTGTGTACAAAACTAGAACTGGAATTTAAAAAAATACTTGTCAGTCTTTGGATATGTTTGAGATATGTCAGAGACCAGGAAGAACAGTTTTCAGTGCTCTGTCCCTGCAGAGTGAAATGCCACTGAGGTAAAGGGAGCTCTGCACCTGCAGGAGAATACGGTGTTGAAGTGTAGGGCTCCAGGGTGAGTCAGTGTGTTTAATTCCCCACTTTGATATAATCTAATAAGAATATTTATAGGTGTACCATCAAGAATTATACTGCCTTGTAACTGTCCCTATTGTCTTTAAAGTACTCCAAAGGTAATGCATATTTACATGGTATATATAAAATTGGCTTCTGAAATATTTACAGATGGGCCTATGATCTACAAGATCTACTTGAAGACAGAGCACAGTGATGAAAACATAGAATTCTGGCTTGCTTGTGAAGCTTATAAGAAGATCACATCACAGAGGAAAAGGATTTCCATGGCCAGGAAGCTTTTTGCAAGTTACATTCAACCCGATGCTCCCAATGAGGTGACATACAATAACATAAGCTCTTTATTTCCTCTAATAGAAATGTGTGATGTGTAGTGGTAGCTAACAAAAGCAACAAAGCAGCTCTTCTATTAAAGGGAGTGAAAACTGTTGCTATTTATCCTCCCCAAACTCTTTTGCACCCAGAACTTTAATACCTGCCCTCACATCTCTTTTATTGGCAAATCTTTCAACTATCTGCCAAGGATACAAGACAAAGGCACAACTGTATTAAGAACCAAGTTCTCGGGTCTGTTCTATTCATTTTAGGATCTGAATCAGAGGCCATTGAGATCACTGGAAACACATTTTGAATTATGCCATTGCTACATGCATTACTCTGGTCTTTCCAAGTGCAAATATAAACCAAAAACAAAAAACACTCTCTAACCAGTGCTATACCACTTGAAAAATGGGCTAAAAGAAAGGTTCCAAGATAGATTAAACAGGACATTTGTACGTAAAATATTTGAGAGCGATTTTTTTTTCCCCCTCAATAAGCGGCTATGCAAAAAAAAAAAGAGTCATTCCTGCTCAGCCAGTCATGCTCTATGACCTTTAACTATCCCTGATTATTACTCTGCTTGCAAAAATAAGCTAGTACTGGCTTTTACTGCTGCTGCCTCTGTCAGACGGACATAACTGAAAAATTGGGCTAGATTATTTTCTGATTTATGCATAACAATAAAATCATTATAGAATCTCAAAATGCAGCCTCCCTGTTGACACTGACAGGCAAGCCAAAACCAACTCAGCTGGATTCCCAAATGTTGGCAAAGAGCAGTTGCTGCTTTAAATGACTAAACCACTCCCACTAATCCAAAGCTTGAGGAAATTTGAAATTTGGTTTTAAATGCCAATTGGAAAGACAATGCATTTTTCAGTCTTTTTCTGATTTATTATATTTTTAGCATGTGCAGCTATAGGAAACTCAGCAAGACATCTGCATTTCCAAAAGAGAAACGTCAGTATTGCCAACCACAAATTCATTAATCAAAAGGGCTTAAATCAGGACGGTTAAAAACAGGCTGTGTAATTTTTTTCTAAAATATTATGTATTTGAATCTTGCTATTAGTTTCTAGGTCTCCAGGACACATTGATTTCACATTTTCTTGATACTCACTATTAACACAAGAACTAGGTACCACGCTAAAAAGATAGATGTTCATGAACAGTTCACATTCAAATTTCAGCAGCATTAAAAAGGTGCAACTCAAATGACTCCTCTGGAAGGGCAAGATCCCAACACATAAAGACATCAGTACTAACTTCACATCTTTAGAGCTCTCAACACTAACAGTCAAAGACAAGCTGATAAAAAGCAATGTAATTCTTCATGAGCTAATAGATTATCAAAAGTTCCCATTTTATCTGGAATATTTTCTTATCACTAGGCCTTCAACTTATATACTACAAACCCTGGACTGCAGAAGAAGAGCTCTAGGAATCAGAACTTTTTCCTAAATAAGGGTGATATATGGACTCAGTTTTATCTCATCTCAGAGATCATAATAATTTTAGCAATTGTTTTTCACCTTTACAGTCTACCTCCAGCCACCTGGACTCATTAGAAATCAGAAGACAGGCTTCCTTTTCTGGGATCTAATTGTAGCTCTAGGAACACATCTTAGCAAAAGAAATGTTTCACTGCAGCTGCGCCATGCAAACCACGTCCCCAGGACTTCTTTCTCTGCTTAAATTGTACGCATGTCCTTATTCTTTTTAGAAGTGAAGAGTAAATCAAACATATACCACTTAACCTCCCTAAGATTGAAGTCTTGGGCCGATACTCTACGTATGGGCCCAGCAGTAGTGACTTTACCACTGCTCTACTGCTTTTGACCTCTACTGATTACAGTTGTTAGGAATAAACTGGCTTTTCCATGAAGGATGTTGTGCAGACTGGGAAATTCAGACATCTCCCAGTCTTCCAGGCTTCTTGTCCCCAGGGCAGCAAGCTCCTATCACTAACATATGTCTTACTAAATCAAACACCAAAAAAAGAGCAAATTGGTCAACTAATAAGATGGGGTTTTCTGGTATTACAAGAAGAAATCCACTCTACTAGAATAAATGTTTTTGCTTAGGTGCTGAGTTTAGATTAGACGGTATATAAAAAGATATAAATAAGAGGCATTTGGTACAGGTCCCCAAATTCAGTCTTCCTGACCCTTTCTTTGCAGCAGTACTTCAGTAACATTGTTTTCTGTTCCAGATTAACATTGATAGTCCTGCAAGGAAAGCAATTATAAGGAACATGCAAGAGCCCACAGAGTCCTGTTTTGATGAAGCACAGAGAATAATTTACATGCACATGGAAAGAGATTCTTATCCACGATTTCTTGAATCAACGTTCTACCAGAAACTCAAACACAGCCTTCAAACTAAAAGCAATAATTCAGATAAAGGTTGAAAATTTAGAAAGGTTTCTTCTGGCATGGAAGTGTTTAAGATTTAATGTAGACTGGAGAAATCAGGCAGTAGACAAATATTATTACCAATCTGCTAAATTGTGCTGTTGATATTAGAATTGATGAGGCACTATCTTCCCCCTTCTCTTTTCTTTTCCCCATGGAAGACTTCTGTTTTTTTTTTCCTGTCCCCTCAATAAAACCCTAAAAACTAGTGAAAACTAGGTATGAAAAAGTTTCAGCCAAAAGTGATAGCCTAAGATTCTAGTCTTTGATTGATATTTGACAACTCTAAGAACATGTTTTCAGTATGCTTGAGAGATCTGAAATAAGACAGTTCCGCTGCTAGGAAATAAATGTTTATTTGGCTATACATAACAGAAGAAAAATATCTGCATTGCTGCATTTACTTTTTCTGTTATTTTATTCTTATAGTCTTTCAAAGTAAAAGATAAATTATGAAGTATAGCTGTTTGCTTAATCTTAAACTATGAAGTGTAGTGTTCATATGGTGTAGGGTTGATTTTATGCTGAATTATGATGTACAATATATGCTATAAAGGTACTTGGTCTACAGTATGCTATAATACTACCACTGTTTCCTGAATTTATCTCCAATGATAAAACTTTTTTTTTTCCTGGGTATGGGCACACAAATACTTTGCTTTCTCTGCGCAGACACCCTAATAACTAAATACAAACAGACCTGACATTTGAACATCATACTGTAACACAAATAGGTCTCTTTCTCTCGTTCATAAACTGTAAAAGACAATTGTTGATTCATTGAATTATTGAAGCACTCTGGTTCACATGCAAAAACCAATCTGACTTCTCGAACCTCATTGAAATTGGAATCTCAATTCTTTCAGTAAACTTCAGCAGAGACACTAAAAGCCATAGGAAATCGGGGATCCTTGTAGCATCCCCTCGATCTGTACTGTTCCAAGGAATACAAAGAACAAGTAATTCCAACAGCAGCCCCATAAACCCAAATAGCCTCACACTGATCCTCTGGGATGATTTCACAGGACAAATGAAGTATTTATTCTCTTGGATACATTTATTTCACTGATGTTACTTCAATCATGTAGTCAGTTCATGCTTTTTAACAGCTTCAAGCTTTCATTTGGCCTGCCTAGTTCAAAAAGGCAACTTTTGTGGGAATGTAATAAATCATTGTCTCACCTCTGTTGGGAATGCCTAGTCTTTCTATGGGAGGCTCACAGCAGTTCATTGTGCCATTTAACTACAGTAAGTTTTTGTTTTCACTGAGAACATCCTTTATTTTTTCAGTGTGAATGTCTAAGCCTTTTCCTTACAGGGCAAGCATGAAAACAGAAACCAGTGCAGACAGTGAACAAGCAACTGGATTTCACTTTTATGGCATCTATCTTGTAATGAGGAGAAGCTATAGGTGTTGTGTTTGTTTTTTTTTTTTTTTAAGATGTTCCTCTTTCCACTGTAATATTATATGTGAATATGTTTTAAGATAGAGTTTCAATCCCTCCTAAAAAAAAAATAAAAATCATTGCTTAGGGCCTCTGAGCAGTGGATTATTGTGGTGCACAATATAGGTTACATTTGGCAAGATGGACATTGATTTATTGATGGCAGTATGTTTATCAACAGCTACCAAATGCATAATATGTCAGGCTTTATATGAAATTATATTGGTAAATTGTTACTATGTGTGTGTGCTCTAATGATAACATGTGAACTATAGTATATTATAAGTGATCGTGTTGTAACTTATCATCAATTATTTAAGACTCCACAAATTCTTTTTTTTCCCCCCCCATGATTTTTATGAAATTCTCAAGGTAGAATTTATGTATATGTCTAGAGCAGAATACAAAGCAAGTATAAGCATAATCTATACTAGTACAGAAAGTTTTAAGGTAACTTCAGCATTGTAAGAAAAGAGATTATTAGGAGGTAATCCTTTCCTTTTGCACTGACTCGGTATAAAAGGATTATCATACAGATGTGTGAATATTCAGCTCATGAAGCCACCCACAGCAAGCAAGGACTCCATGAGAAATCCAGCTAGGAATAGTATAGCTTTTGCTGCTAACTGCTGATGTGTGTACAGCCCATCAGACTTTGGCTCAATCGATTCTACAGATGTCACAGCTTCGCAGCAAAGAAAAACTGTAGGAACTATTAAAAAGCAATTCCTGCAGGGAAGCAGATCTGTGACAAAAGCCAGGCTGAGCAGAGGAAAAAACTAATAAACAAGGGACTAGACTGTGAAAAGCTTTCCCATTTGTGTTAGGATTAGAAATTCAGAAGAGCTAGATATTGGTCTCTGAGTGGAAGAGGTTTGTAACGACCAAGGATAATACTTTTCCATATCCAAACAGGCTTAGCATGCAGTGTGCTGAAGGGGTTACACAAAGAGGCTGGTCAGGTAGTGTGATGATCCTTTCTCCCTGCAGAAAGGGGATTATCACAAAGGACAAACAAAAAATCAACTCAGAGAATGCTCAGAGAAATCAGAGGGGAATTCACTTATTTTTATGTCATGAAATGTTTAGCATTTATTTTACTAACAGGACACGAGTCTAGCAACACTTACTGCTGGAGGACTTAACTTTATAAACCTTATATTTCCTTCTAGAAATAACTAGGGTTTGTTTTTTTTTTTTACATTGAAAGAATAGAGGGTCGTTTTCCCAAAAAACATTTATCATTGACTGCTAGAGATCTTCCTCTTACTTGGTTTTTCTCTTGTGTTACCAGATGCGTGACAACAACAGTGGATTTCATTAGGTCACATGATTCATAAAACAGTAACTAATGGCAGCAGCAATAACAAATCACTGCTTTTAACATTTTCATTAACAGCACTTGAATGAGCTCAGTTATACTTTCCACTGGCTGACAACACTAAAAGGCATTTGCTCACATTAATCATTCAAAGCTACTGTAATGAAAGATTAAAAAAACCACAACTTTAAAATAGCTAAATTATAAGAATTCTCTCTAATTCTTCCTTCATTTACTTGATAAGAATTTAAAAAAAAAAAAAAAATCAAGACAATAGCAATTCTTCAAACACATTAAAGCTGGCAAGATAAAAATGCAGATTAATAAAAACACTATAGCAATTAACTGCCTCCAGCTTTGGAAACTGTTGACCTATTGAGGCCCTAAAAAACAACAAAACATACTAGACAGATGGTCTGGAGGTTTTTTGGTTCTTTGTTTGTTTGTTTTAAAAAGAGCTCACAATTAGATCATTTTCCCTTTGTAAATATGAGCTGTGTTGGCCTACTTTCTTGATAAAAGTGATGAAATTCATACTCTGTTGTTATACTTTTGCTTTCATAAGTTTTACATCCAACTCTTGGTGTCTAGCTGATAAATGTAGAATAACAAATGCAGATTGCATATTGGGTCTAAAAAACAGAGTAAAAATTGGCTTCTAAGTAGAGTTAGTCAAAAGAAAACCATAAGAATAACCTAGCCTAAGCTTTTCTCTGCAGATGGGTGGTAAATGAGAATAGTCTCTCCATTGTATGATCAAAAGCCTTCACAGAATAAGTTCAGGAGGCTTTTCTCTCAAGTACTTTCAATTATTTCATACTTCCATATTAACTCTAGGTATTTCTGCTTTTAAGTCCCAAGAAATAAACTATAGGCAGTCTCCCCCTAAGCATAGTATGGAAGTAATATCCAGAACTTGGTACTGTAGACAACTGATTTAAACGAATACGAGCAGAGATGTTTATCACCAAGTACTGGGCAGATGAGGATGTTTAGGAACCTTCAACCTCAGAGGAAAGGGAAATGACTGTAGCATTTCCAACTATTGGCAAATATACAGTCCTGTTGCAATCACAGGTCCCTTCAGAAACCGATGTTTGGTCTGATGTTCACTAAACACAGGGGAAGGAGCGCAATGGAAGAAGTTTTCTGAAAAGAACATTTTTACTGCACATGACAATTAGCTAGATTACGTGGCTACAGACCATAGCCTTTTCAGGGCAAAAACTGCATCTTAACACAGGCTTACCTACAGTCTGCTACAGCAAAGTCTCACAGTGGCAATAACCTCTCTTGGTATAATTACACATTTAATAAGTTGTCAGTAACAAAGAGGAACTCTACAGCTTTGAGATGCTTTGACTTCAAAATCTTAAGTCACCAACTCTAAAAAATTTTAGAAAATTAGGAAAAAATTAAAATTCAAATTTAAAATAGCAGCCCCATTTAATGGTCTGATTGGAATACACAAAGGATTCTAACATTTTTTTCTTTATATGAAAAAGAAAAAAGAAATGTGCAACAATGTAGAAAGATAAAAACACAAGAGAAGCAAATTACATATTGGGGAAGCAAATCCTGTAGCCAAGTACTCTTTTAGATATTATACATCATAGGTCTGCAGATTCTAAAACTATGAATTCTCATCACACCAGCAACAAGATATCAGCCACTGCAGCCAAATTGTGCAAATGGTTCTTTAGACAGGAATGTAAGTTAATAAGAGTATAAAAGCATCATATTATGGATATGTGGCAGTTCCAATCAGTTTCCATTGATTTTAATGGGTCTGCATATCCTTATAGAAACACAAACATGGCATGAGCCATCTTGAAGTATACTGCAAGCGGTCAGCATTAAGTACATATACATTTCGTCCTTGCTCAGTTGCGTAAACACTTTATAGAACGTAGTGCCCTTGGACTAAGACTTCCCCTGGGGCTGGTAGATCTGGCACAGGTAGGGGGACATACTGTCCATTCCCTGCTGCGGCAGCAAATGGAGGCCACAATTATTCTAGAGCATCTCAGTAGGACTGAATTTACACAACTGAATCAAGCCTGCTTTCTTAACTATATTACCTAAAGGTTCCACATTTGCTAGCTTCCCCCCCCCCCACCCCTGGCATCTTAAAAGCTTACTGAAAAGCTGTTTTATCTATAACTTTATTTTCCCTCCAGAACTGCTGTCAGAATTATCTCAACATGACCATGCTTATACAGAAATCTCTGTGTTTTGTACATCAGATTTTCCTTTACTCAAAGCACAGTGCAACTATCCAGGTCCTAAGAGCAGCTCCTTACTGCAAGTGTTACTGCGAGGGCATGTACCTCACAAAATGGGAAACAGGGTGGTTTCACCTTGAGAAGTTTATGCCAGTGTGGGGTTTTAGCCATGGCAAACCACCACTGATGGGCTACGGACCTCCTTTCCCAACCCTATCTCCTCAATGCCACGTCCTTTCTCTGGATTTCTACATCAGGTGTGCAGACATGAGGGGAAAAACCTGAAGCTTTACAGCATGAGGGCAGGAGACAGGGCTGCAGTCCCTCTTTGACAGCCC